TATTTAAGTAGTCCGCTTATTACTAAGTTCTACACTAGATGCCATACCTATAACCCAACTAGGAAGTTATCTATTTAGTATGAGTTTTTGCTACATTTCAAAAAATGGTTAAATATTTAAAAAAATTTCTTACTGACATTTTGGTCTATTAATTGTAGAATTCAATAACCTACCATACATTGATTTAAAATATTTTTCTTCGATCAATAGAAATAAAATTTTTGCTTTAGGTATACAAAGTTCTTTACTTTGTATTCTTTTTAAAATATTTTTAAGAAATTTTACAATTCTAGTTGTATTTGGTCTTTGAAGTAGATTTTTATTCCAACATTTTTCTATTAATTGGCTAAGAAATTGTGATATGGTATCAATAATTTTTGGACAATCTCTATCAATAATATTAAAAACAAGATGTGAATTATGTTCACGCTTAGAAAAGGTCTTTTGCTATGTATCACTTTCCAAATAATCATTCCAAAACTATATATATTGAAGCTTTAGTAAATTTATTTTTGATTTAAAAATATTTCTGGCGCTATGTATGGAATTACTCTAAAGATTTCTTTATCAGACTTCATATTTACTAGTTTACTATTATTAAAATCTTCAATTTTCACATATCTTCTTTTACTATTATTATAAATAATTATATTACTACTATAAAGATCTTGATAAATAATTTGTTTTGCATGAATTTTTCTGATTCCATATTCTATATCTTGTAGTATTCTCAACTTTTCTTGCCATGATAAAGTATTAATATTTTTGAAATAAATTTATATAAATCACCATTTTTTGTATATTCAAGAACAAGAATAACATTTTGATGATTTTGTGTAATGCCAAGATAATTAGATATTTTAAAATATGCAAATAGATAATGCGATTTCATGTATTTCAAATAATTTTCTAACTAAGAAAATTGAAATATATTAGTTATTGACCAAAGGTTATATAGCAATAAAAAGTGAAACCTCATCTAAAAAGTCAAATTTATTTTTTCTGAGTTTTTAAAGCATTTAAGAACTATATTACAAAATTTATTACTATCAAAAACTTGTTTATAGAAATTTTACTTTAATATTAGTAAGGTAAAGATACTATTTCTGGAAGTTTTTTTTTGCTATATATAAAACTTTTTCAAAAATTAATATTTTTTATTAAATTTTAAATATAAAATTTACAATTAATTTCTTATTTAAAAATATATAAATTAAATTATACTAATATATAAAAGTTTGAATATTAATAGTGAGACTATGTCTAATATATAAAAGTTTTTTGTATTAGTAAAAAAAACATTCT